AGACTTTCAGGGCCTTTTCATTATCTCTCTTGAATATTTAAGTTTCAAGCTATGATAATCAGTTGGGCTGGAAATGTTATTATAGTCTTGGTAGCAATGGAGTCTGTTTTTCATCAGTTCATGTGAAGCTTTTCCTCCTGCTCCCCCAAAGCCTAGATTCCTATATGCTCTGGGTGGGGAAATGACAGTGAGCTGTAAGAAGAATTGTCGATACGTGGCAACAACTTTTAATCAAGAGCTTGTTTCCTCTTGTTAGAATGAGAGTAAGTCTTTGAGGGCTTTTTTCTTCCACTTCATTTTGGTTTTGCTTCTTGCTTTTACAAGTGAGCTGTCACATTTTCTAATTATAAAACATTCTGCACTTGCAGCAAAGATCGGGTTATGCAATTTTCTTAATTCAATAGATTGCTTGTCGCTGCTGAACAGAAAACCTTTTATTATCTTTCAGTCTTTTTTACAGCTCCTTTTCCTAGGTCTTTGACACACTTGAGGGCGGGGGAGAGGCAATCTCTCCTTTGCACATGCCATTGCATTTACCTAATTGCATAAGTAAATGCAGTCTGACACTGGAAGGACATGGAAATGCCTCGGTTATGAACTGGTAACTTCCTTTGAGGCACGAAAATGCGTTTCTGTGTTTTGCAGATGTGAAATACATTCCCCCACCCCCCAATATTAGAAGAGGCTAAGTATATTTTTAAGGTTTTTAATTGAAGTTTACCTGATTTTCATGTTTCCTAAATTTTCCCAAAGTTGTTATCAATTCTGTAAACACTTGTTCAGGAGCGTATTCACTCTACGGTTGTCTGACTGTATGTTTTAACTTTCTCTCTAATTAGTCCAAATATTCCTCAGACTACCTAAGGTTGTCTTGAAAGCCTTGTTTTCACAAGAAAATAATTGGATGCTCTTTTCTTCTGGAACTCTTTGATAGGATTCACAGATGACAATTTTTTGATCCTCCCTTTTGGCCCAATGCACTTGAAATAAGCCAAATGGTAGGTTTCTAATTAAAAATCCAGTTCTTAAAGATAAAACTTGTCTGATCTCTGGAAACAAGTGGCATTATATTGACAGCCACTCTGGCAAAGTAGAGAAATTGAATGGCAAGTATAAATGAACACAGTGAGCAGTGAAAACCTGTATCACACTTGAGAGCATTCCAGAAGCAAAAGACAATCCTTATTAAACCAGACACTAGTCATGACAGCCAGTTCTGCAAATTGAGAATAAAAAAAATAAAAGCACAGGTCTTCCCTCATTAGAAGTTATGCTGTTGCACCCAAAAATGCATGGCCTAAAACATATTGCTGATGTCTTAATATGGGTGAAAATACCCAAAACTTACCAGTTTATTGTGCTTTTATGTTTTTCAATCAAGTAATGAGTAACGTAATCATTACTCCAGAAAATTTCATAGAGATTGCTACCACGTGCAGTTGGCTGGTTCCACAAGGCATTCTCAATGAGAGGTACTGTCTGGTTTTATTTTTATTTTTTGGAAGGATATATTTTGGGCAGTCATTCTAAAAACCTAGATTATTCCTTCTGTAATATAGGATCTGACAGCTACAGAACTGAGAAACAGAAAAATAGTTATTAGTGATTTGGCGGAAAAACAGTATTATCTTTTTTTTTTTTTTTAAGTGGGTATTTCCCTCCTGCCTTTCAGTGCTGTAGGGACTTAGTGATTACAAGTGTTCTAATTCTTGAAGCATTCATGCATAGCTGGTAGAAAACAATCAACTTGCTTTTAATTTAGTTACATGAATTTAATGGAACATTCATTTATAAAATGTACAATACAAATACTCAAGCTTTTTCTGAGTTATTTTTAATTCAATTTCCCCTGTGTACTCCTCCAGAAAAGCCAGATCTTAGCCTGCATTAGTGTTGCTTTGCACTTTTTTAACAACGGGTACCAAGTGTTTCTCAAAGCACTTTGCTGTATTTTGGAGCACTCCTAGACAAGCTGATGACTACATTCGTAGTTAGAAACACACCACTCATTTTCCTTGTTCCTGCCTGCCAGTAAGAGGTTATTCTGAAAAAAGTAGCGTACATCTGAGGAACTCAGAGACTACTTTGTTGGCTTGGTTTACACAGGAGATATTCCTGGCTCATTCCAAGAATGAGAAAATGCAAAGGTATCTTGTATGTCCATTCCAGCTCTGCCAAGTGATACTCATCCCCAGCTGTGGCTTTGTCTTCAGTACATGTTGTGTACTGCTCTAACCCCCAGCTCCTCTTATTCAGTGACTACCAAGATGTTCTGCTAAAATTCAGCATTTTTAGCAGTTCAGCTGTGTAAGGTTGCTTAGAAACCAGCCTTCTTATCCCCCACATTCTCATGACAGATTTCCTATGCAATCACATCACTGCATGACACATTTGTATCCAGACACGCATTCCTTTTCCACTTGAGATTCTCTGAGTAAAGGTTGTTGGTGCTTCACGCAATTCGTAAGCAGCATGTGGTAAATCACTGGAGTATTAAATCACTGCCACAGCCAAAATGAGCTCAAGTTTTGAACGCGAGCAGTTCCTCACTCCTGAATTTAGTTACTGAGCTTTTCTTCCTGAGAGTAATTTCTAATTTTGTTTTCCGGACTGGGTAGCTAGATGCTTTTATGAGTTTATGGTAATCTCTGCTCCCTTTGCTTCACTATATAATACTTGTTTGCACCATTGCAAAATTTAGATGGTAAGGGCTTTTGGTTACAATTGCTTTCTCCTTTATATTTTCTTTATATTTGCACAAGGCATCTCATATGAACTGGGTATAAAACACTTATTAGTAATACAAATATTTGTATTTTTTAAAATGTCACTAATAAGTATCAAAGATATCAACTTGCAGTTGAAGAGAGTCGTTGTCAGCCACTTCATATTTATACCTCTCTTTGACTGAAGGGTTTTTAGCACTGTTTTTACTTCACTTCTCCTTCTCTATTTGATGACAGTATTGCACTCGTGCCAGAATGGCAATGTGTTGGTCTGGCAAAATAATAAGAAAAGCTAACCGCCACACCTGGCAGAAAGAATATTTGCTATGGAGAAAGACAATAAGGTCCTATCACAGTCATCTTATTTAGTGTCATGAAAAAACCACATACAACTTCATTCAAAGCTACAGTCAGTGCTTTTATGGACTGTGAAATGTACCATCAGCGAACCATATAGTTTGAAATTATATATTTTTATAGTTCTAATATATTTCTTTCTGTTAATTTTATTCTGCAACTATAAACCTTGTGCTTATTATTTGAACAGCAGTTCAAACATTATGAACTGAGTGTAATTTCTTTAGTGTTTATACTCTGGCAAAAGAATGTATTTAAATTTTGCATTTTGATGACATTCTAACATCAAAATAATCCATACATGATTTAAATATACATTCTGCTTTGTAGGGCATAAAGGCCTATACCCTGCAACAAAGAAGTAGTGTAGTCAAGACAAAGATGATGAGAAACTTAAGACAGTTTCCTGGGGCAGAGAAGGTTTTAAGAAGGATTTATGAAAGAATGGGATTTGGAGACAGAGGCGAGCTGTCTGCTTGAAAAAAAGCCAAACTCAAATAACTGAGCTAAAAAGAACAGTAAAAGGATCATAAATTAACAGAAATGAATAGGGCTAGAACATATAACATGTCACAGGTGAGGATAAAGCATTGTACTGAATACTGTGAAAGAAAACCAATGAATGAACGGATGATGCTGAATGAAAATTCAGTTTTGTTGGTCCTGATTTTGTCACTAGCTTTAAAATTTCACAAGAAAAGATATCTTTTGCAAATAATGAAGAAAGAGGTGAGAACATTCGCAACTGCATTTAGTTGAATGATAACAGAAACACAAAATAACATTCTTTGCCAAGCTGCTCACAAATCTAGAGAAGTGTTTCTGGTATTCGTGAAGAGAATGCAAGCAGAGTCATGTAAAAGTGAAAGACAGAAAGCAAAACATACAAAAACACCACCTTTAAGTATGGTGGTGTGGTAGGCAGATGGCTTTAAAAATATTTTTTTTTAATTAGAAGTCATTCTTTTAATGCTTATTCACAGCACAGTAACAAGAATAACGCACAGTATCCCAGACACGGGAACCTCCCATGTTTCAGTTTGTGCCCATTGCCTCTGGTCCTGTCACTGGGCACCAATGAAAAGAGTCTGGCTCCATCTACTTTGTGCCCTCCCTTCAGATTTCTGTACACATTGATGAGATTCCCCCCGAGCCTTCTATTTTCTGGGCAGAACACTCACAGCTCTCCCAGACTTTCCTCATAGGAGAGATGGCCCAGTCCCTTAATTATCTTAGTGGCCCTTCACTGGACTCTCTTAAGTAGCTCCATATGTTGTACCGGTGAGCCCAGAATTGGACACAGTACTCCAGATGTGGCCTTACCAGCGCTGAGGTGAGGATTAGAGGGGAAAGATTTATACAACATTTTCCCCTCCCTAGCCTTCTTTCTTCGAGGAAAACGCTATGGAAAGTTGGTTTTCAGATGTGGATAGAACAGGATCAGTAGAAAGGCTGGTTTCAACACACAGTAAGCATTTATTGTTTTATTCTTAAAAGCACCTTTCTTTTTCAAGGGGAGAATGTTTGATTTGGTTTTAGTTACTTTTCACTTTTTGTACTTTCATGCCTCTCACTTAAAAAGTGTTTTACCCCCTCTTCTTAAAAATACAGTAGACCTACAGTGCATTCCAACAATTGTATTTACCATGTTTGCCAACATTTTAAAATTTGTGGAGGAAATTCAGCAATGCACGGTAATAGAAGATACGGGCTCTTAATACCACAATAATATTCACTCTTTTCTGATAACCAGAAAGCAACCTCTGTGTATCACCAATTTACTTACATTGCACTTAAAAAGCCCTTTGGCTTAGGTATCCTTAAAGTCCCACCACCTTGTTCAAACAAATTGTGTAACACAGTATGTACATAAATGAGAAAACTGTCGAGAGAGAGGCCATATATATATAAAATTACCTGGTCTTCAAAGTCAAATTCCGTATAAACAGTATCTCTAGAATCCATAATCAGACTGTAATGAAGTTCATTTGGCCCTAAAATAGGAAGGAAAATTAAGACTTCAGAAATGGATTGAAAATTTTCACTTTATGTGATGGAATGCTATAATATTTCCAATTGTCTGTATGTATGCAAAAACTGTGATCCAAGGAATCATTCAGATGTGCTAGAGTACCCGGGTGAATGGTATTCCATTAACCAAGCCTTCAAAGCGTTCATAAAAGCTACCACAAATCTTAATAAGGAATGGTTATACTAAATGGTGAATTGTTTCAGCTAGACTGCAAATTTCTTGGGCAGGGTGTTCTGCGTGATGTGACTTGCAATTGTAAAATTCCCACAGGGATTTTGGCTCAGGGGAGAATACAAAGCACGTTTAGGAAACAGAAGGGAAATACTGACTAATTGGTGATTAGCAGATAAGGATCCTGGAGTGAAACTGATAAGGGACCAAAGCGACACATTTCCAGCAGCCATGCTCCCCATTCCTATCCTACCCCTTTCCAAGGCAACAGTGTGGCTCTGCCCCTTCTCCCTGTCATCTTACTGTGGTGGGATCAGCAAGTCATGCACCCTCTTGCTCTTGGGATGACAAAATTCGGTTGCTGAGAAGCCTTGACCTTCCTGAGCTCTACAGTTTAGCTTCAGCTGAACTGCTGAAGGTGAGGGATAACAGAAATTGGGCTTGGTATCTCAAGAAGTCATGTAGGGGGGTAGTCATTGCTAAACCAGAATGGGAGGATAAACCGCTAATCATTTTTCTATATGAATATAGGAAGGGCGTAGCATGGGCATCACATTCATATTCTGGCATTATCCCCCCGTTCAGATTGTCTCACTGCTGGGCAATCAGGAAGGAAACTCTCTCCTGTGCCCTCCAGATGGTGCAGCCCTAAATCAAATCCTGTGCATATTCAACACACATTAAAATGTCAATAGGCGTGTGACTACAGTATTTTTCACAGCATTATTAAAATGAGAACAACAAAAATACTGTAATAACATACAGAGATCTAAAAATTGTAACCAGCCAGTAGCCACAGGTGAGTCCAATTCCTGTCTTCATGTGGGGAGCAAGAGGTAGCATCAGGGGAAGTGTAAGACATGGGTTTTTTTTTTTGGTGTGCCCTCATGTCCAGTCAGACAAGATCACTGATGAGGAAAACAACTCCCTCCCTCCCGGGTTACAGGTGTCTCTACCTTGTATGATGTTCCTGTAAGCACTGGCATTAAGGATATATAGTTTTAAGGCTATTGATGACCTGGAGTTGTTTTTCAGCATTAGAGATGTTTGTATGGGTGGCTCTCTGAAACAAGCACTATAAATAACAGATTTTGCTGTTCCATTTGTGCCAGATGCATTTACGTATTATCTGCTTTTGTTTGCTTTTGAAGTTTACATAGTAATAATCTACGTAGGTGGTGAACTAAACATCACTAAGAGAACAGAGGAGAGGAACTGGATGTTGTGATGACTAAAACCGTAACTGCTTGGTAGAGATGATGATTCCAGGGTGTCTTAATTTGCAATCCATATTACAGTTGCTGCCAAACTAATCTTTGATACGACTCTTTGGACCATGTAAAATACACCAGGGAAAGACTTGGGTCTACCATCTGCTGGTGGTTTTGGTTTTTGTTTGTTTCTCACACACACACACACACCCCCAATGTTCATGTATACTTTATCAGATTGCTATAAAAAAAATAACAAAGTGATTATACTCTTTGTACATGTACATATGCAGCATGTTCTATGGCATATATACTTCATGGTCTCTTGAAAATACCTGTGTGTAAAAGACACATGCAACCAAATAGATTTACAACTGCTGAGAGAATCTTAGGTTTTTGATTTATTTTACACAGCTGACATCTCACTCTTAACATTGTGTCATTGCTGATAATATAACTAAGCCTCAGTCGTGACCAACACTGGCCTACCTTGACACATTAATCACTTTTAAAGGCACTTGTGTGCAAGTATTTGATTAACTGTCACTTAACTACCAAGAGTGGTATGTATCCTTAGCTAGGAATGTTAATATGAAATATGGTGCTGCAAACTTAAATGTAAAGGTCAGGCTGAAAATGAACACTCATGCATAATGTATCTTAAGTGATAAAAGCCCTTAACGGTTATACAATTTTAATACGGTCAAGTATCTTAAGGCCTTTTTTCTTGAACTAGGACACCAGTTTCCTTGGGGAAGCATAGCTCCTTTCTGGGTATACTCAAGGAAGGTCAGGAAAATTGAAATTATGTGTCTTTTCTTTCTTGGTTCAATGAAAACTAACAAAATCCATAAACATGTATCACTGAACAGTATACAGATTTCCCTTCTCAAATTGCCTAAAGACAAATCTACCAGAAATTAATTGAAGCAAATGGCTACTCCCAGGGCAAGATAAAGTACTGAGTGGACATATGTATTTGTGATATCCCTGGTGCAGTACGAATAAGCATGAGTAGTTTGCTATCCTCCAGCTCAGTTTGTTGTTGGAGGGAGCATATTTTGCTGAATTTGGACAAAATCTTGCTAAAACAGGTCTTTCAGGGGAGGACTAATCGCTAGTATGTGTGGCAGCAGAAGCGTACCAGATAGCCACTTTGCAAGGTACTGGGGAGCCAGTACTCCCGCTGGCAGACAAAGCTAAAGCCAAGGGGAGAGCATTAGAAGTGGATAATTCAAAACTCAGCTCAGGTGTTCGGAGCCCAAGTTTCAATCAGCAACATTTTATGTAAAACTTGTAGCAATGTTCAGCTGTCAAAGGAGAAACACAAAATACTGACGTAAGGAAAAGAGGAGGATTGGTTAGAGCGTCTGGAAGCAAACATGCCCTGCTGTTTTCAATGAGTCTGCAAACTGCACATCTCATGATCAGCTGTTTTGTTGTCAGAGCACAAGTAAGTTTCATTACCTTTTCTGAGTCGTGTTGTTTTTTCCTTTGATAAGTCGGTACACTGAGAGCTAGGCTATAAAAAAGTTAATACTTGTTTACTATTAGGAGGAAAGTCTTGTCATAATTCCTTTCAAAGGGATATCCCACTCCACCAGATAGTATCAGCTCTTGGTTAACTTAGAGCCTTCGTGTGCTTGTATGAACCTACTGCAAACAACTGGAGTAACTGCACCAATTTCAAAGGGGGAAACTCAACAGTTAAAAAAAAAACAAACAAAAAAACAAAACCCAAATTAAGAAAATGCATGAAAGCTCTACTGCCATGGAGAAATAGCTTGCAAGCACCTGATCTGAAAAGGTACTTTTATGACTTAAAGTATGCATCCTCAATTTCAGTGCATGCGTCAAGTTGAGATGAGGGAAACCTGGCCTTTTTCATGTGCCCTGTGTTTTCTTTAGGGAGTAAAAAACAAACAGGATTTTATTAGGTACAGTACTGCACAATTAAAAAATAAATCAGGTGGAAGTTTTTATTAAATCGCTGTTAACTGAATAATCATCTCTCCAGGGAGGCGCAGGCTGCTGAAAAAAGAAACAGCCTATCAGCTAGAACGTGTTCCCTTTTTTTGCTAGGCGTTGTATCTTGACACTGAAGGCATCATTCATTAAGATTTGGCTTGCTAGGAACCCAAGAGGATCCAATGACATGGCACTGAGGGATGAGCTGAATTAATGGGTGGCTGCAGTTGTGCAAGGGTGTGCTGACAGGGGCTACCCCTGCCAGGTCTGACGGGAGAGAATGACTCCCTTGCCCCCAGAGGGGTGCGGGACTGTGCTCAGTTTTTTCTTCACCATACGGCCGTACTTTTAAATTTTATGCTGTATTTTACTTATTGTTTGTTGCTCCTAAGCCAAATTGCACAGGATCGCTCATGGAAAGCTGAGAGGGTATGGCTGTTATGGGCAGGTGCGTGATTCCTACCGCAGAAATGCACCCCAGAACCTAGGGGCATCATGGCCATAAAAGTCGCTGGTCCTATAAAATATTTCAGTGTTCTGAGCCTGGGTGCATGTCACTTCCTCTGAAAGTGTGGTCATCCTTAAGTTTTCATGAATTCAAGTATCAATCATTGCTTTCTCACAGTTCACGAAACTAAATTGTACTGATCTGCAGTGGATTTAACTTCCCATTACAAGGTAGCTATACCCCATCATGTGAGTTAATTAAGTCTGCTCCTTGGACCATTTGTGTTTTGAAAAATCAGCTAATGTATTTCCAATCCTTGCTTAAATCCATTATTTATGTCAAATCCTGGTAGCAGTTCTATTTAATATGGTTAATTGGCTCAAATATGCCCATACTCATATTTTAACAACTGTAGTATTTGCACTGTTCAACACTGACTGTCATAAAAGTAATGTAAGACTGTCCTGTGAAACATGTTGCTTCTCTTAATAGTGTGTTTGAGCTCAATAAATTAAAAATCTCTTTTTATGTTATGGAACATGCTCTGAATCACCCTCTAACTCACTTAATACATGTTGCATATAAGCATTTGGGCAAGAAGAATGCTTAGAAGATAAATTTCAAGTGGAATATAATAGAAATAATTTACTGAAGGACTGATTAGCATTAGAATGATTACCTTTTCATTTTGCTCTCAGTAAGATGTTTCTAATACAGATTTTATTGCAACTTCACACTGCTGAGTTTCATGACAGCTTGTTGCTCTTAGCAACAATCTTAATATGTCATAGAAGGCAACAATGAGAAAATTGTATTTTAATTTATAAAAATATTCAGTTGTTTTCTTTCAGCGTGCATTGTTACACAGTTGATTACAACTAGATTTTACAGGTATAACATGAATTAAGATTGATGTCAAGGCATGAAAATATTAGAAATACTATGTTTGCATTAGCCACCAGGAACGAAAATATATTACAATACCACTAATAAGATTAAAAGACAAAAAGTGAGATCAAGGCAATGCTGGAATTGCAGCCTCTAGAAGTTAAATATCTGGTCCCATAGGATCTCTAGAAATCTTTCTTCACATCTCCTTACTATTACTGGTGCTCGGGTTAGGGACCAATTAGATGATTTGTGGCATGGTTTCTGACAAAACCCATAGCTCTCCAATTATTTTGGTGAGGAATTTATTAAATAGATCAGACTTTTAAGGAACTGACTGGAACTCATTCAGAATCACAACTAATTTGTGTGAATTGTTTAGCTTTTGTCAATCTGTTTGTCAGAGCTAGCACCTTTATGCCACTTCTTTCCTCTTCTTGCCATTCAGTACTTAGCTCATTTAATTAAGGAATCCACAGGTAATTATCAATACAATGCTATACAGTGGGAATGCCATTTTAGGTTGGGAATCAATCTCTTGCCTCTAGGAATAAGGCTAAGCACAAAAGAGGTAAGCGTGCCACTTAACGGAGAAAGCTAGTAGTTTTCATTCTTGCGCACATCTTATCTTGAAGCTGACCACTAGAAACGTTTTTTTAGCTAATGCACTTTTTTGTCACTCCCACCACCCCCGCCACCCTATCTTGATAAATAACCTTATGGGTGGGTTTTGTAGGCTAGCTAGCTTGGAACCCCCTTTCAAATCTTCAAAATATGACCTAATCTTTCTGTCTGAAGCACTGCTCTTTACAAATGTCTTGCTAGTAGAAAAAAGTAATCCCCCTTTGTCAAAAAGAGATAGTAGATGTCTTGCTACTACTAGACTTCGTTGTGCTTCATCAATTCTTCCTTCCTTGGCAGCCCCCAGATGATCGTTCACAATTCAAAATAGCTGAAGCTACCCTGTCTGCCAATTCATGGCAGATGAGTTTTCCTTTAAACAGAGGAGAGATTAGATACATGATTTTTTCTACTATACATATCTAATCTTTGTTCTAATAAAGCTAGTAAAATTTACAGGAAAATATTTCACCTAGAATTTTCTTTTTCTTTTTATGTGCTGTTTCACAAGACATTTAAGACCTCATCTACCTATATAACCCTCACAGTCTACTTGGAAGGCAGCCAGGGATACCATTGGTAAAAAGAAAAAGTTGTGCAGTTACCAAGGAATATTTTCCTGTTCCCCTCAAGCAAAATATTTCTGACAGATGTTATGGATTTTCAGTGCTTTGATTTTTAGCTTCAATTCTTTTGCAGGCCTTTGTCCTTCAAAGGCTTTTTCTTTGAAGACATTCAAGTCTCAGTACTTGCAGCACAAATAGTAAATATCTAAATAAATAAACCCCCCAAACACCTGACACATACACACACAGTTTCATAATTAGTAGCAATTATTAGGGAGGGATTATGATCATTAATCTCACAGGACTGGTTTTCTGGAGAACACTGAGGCATCACCTGGAACTGAAACAGCTGACAACTGGAATTGATCAACTTACGAAGTCTTTGTATTAATGATAGAGTGGACTATCCATAGTATTTTAAGGTGAGCTTATAGATAAATGTGTATAGATAAAAAAGATGTTAGATGGGCTGTATTAAGTTTCCAAGTGTAAAGGTATTTTTTTTGCCTTTCATTGTGCAAATGTTTGGGGTTGGTTGAGACTTTGTTACAGTACATACATCCATACTTGAGGAACATGAAAAAGGCACCCCACCAACATCAAATGCAGTATAAAACATGTGGTTCTTTAAATCTTACATTAACTCACCTGCTGCGGCCTCTTTGTTTGCAAATAGTTTATTGTCAACTGCCGAACTTATGTCAAAGAACACTTCTTCTTCATCTCTGTCTGCATCAAACTATTAAAAAAAAAAAAAAAGAAAAGAAAAAGTTAGCAATCACACTGCTTACTACTTAGCTGAACATTAATGGGTAAATATGACTTCTCACCCCAAGGAACCTTTCTGGTTTTCTGTGTGCTGTCTATTGCTTTAGGTATGAATCATATTAATTTTGACTGAAAAATAAACTAATTTTGTAAACCATTTTGCCTATTTTTAGTAGCTTGTCAGGAACAGAAGCTACAGTAAAATTTACTAGCTCTCAGAGAATGACGTTTCAAAGCAGAAAGTAAAACTAGTAATGCATGTTAGCTTTTCAACCATTGGATGGTTGAAAAAAAATTACAGCATAGAGACCAGAAATGTGATTACTTTATTGTCACTTCTTTTCAGAGATTAGCATAATTAACTATTTAATTTGCAACTGAAAAACTTTCAGCAACTTCTGAATTGTCTGACACCAATTTCTGTGACACGGACGTGTGTATGATTTCTTCACATAGTTGAGCAAGATTCTTAGGAAAAAGTAAAGTATTTTTCAAAAGTCCCCTATTATATAGAAAAGAAAGCTTTCCTTGCTCTTGTACTAGCAGAAAGTGTATTGGCTCAGTGATAAATTAATAAAATCAGGAAAGCAAAGCTCTCTTAAAATGGCAAACAATTAATTTCTTACCATTTTAAACTTTTTTAATTTATTCTATTTTTTGCCTGATACTGATTCTCCCAAGTTTTTTCTCAGCTCTGTCTCCCAGGTTCTTTTTATGGCCAGGTGACATGCTTGACAGTGGATTTGTGTTTTTTCTTATCCTACTTATCAAGCTTCATTCATTTAGATCATCATTTATTGAGGCTTTCTTTGGAAAAAAAATGGACATCTCGCTTTGGATTTTTTCTTATTTCTTGAACTGAGGCCAGGTCCATTACTATGGAAACAGGGAATACTGTAACCTCAAGCTACAGGAGCCAGTAAATAATGGTCACATCAGATGGCTGTCATTCAGTGCATACCCCCCTGTATAAGAGTCACTATTTTCAGACATCCTCTATCTTCAGCGTAATACGGTTTAGGATGCAGAATGAAGCCCAGGGTGAAAAGCGTTACACTAGCAATTGCAAGCTCACAAACTTCAGTGGGTTCCTTCTTCCAAGTCCAAGACTGTTGAGCGCCTTTTCAGATGTCTCCCCAATACCTAACTGTCTCATGGTAAAAATAATAGGCAGGGAAAAGCCTTGGAGAGAGAAGTTCAAACCCCAGTAGGAACTTCGCTGCAGAAGCTAACATTTATAGAGATGAAGTTGTTTTCCAAATATCTATTTCAGAATATAGCATTATACTTAAGTTAACTTTAGAGAGATACTGAATTGCTTGTCTAACACCTGCCATTGCAAAATCAGTATCACTCTCTTCATTATGCCTTATGATGACTTATGTATTATCTATATTACTTAAGCTGTTCTGTTACTAGTAATGAAATCTGCTTTCTTACGGAATTTTCCATCAGCACCTCAAGGTAAACTCAGAGGCAAATATCAGCCCAAGAATAATTCTTTAGAATGGCAGATGTCAGAAATAGTTCAAAAACAGGGAAAGAACATCAAAGAGGCAAAGAATGATTCTACAAACTGGGTCTGTGTGAATGAAAGAAAATGGAAGCTTGTGGGATGCCAGAGTATACGAGAGAAAGGCAACAATTGTAGAAAGTTTGCTGCCAACAAGCTTAACTCTCAACACCTGTCCAAGTGCTCAAATCTTAATTGGTATTAGTCCTGATTTAAATCTTTAAGGTCTTAATATTTAGCTTTACGCTTAGCTCAGCCCCAGAGTTCATTTCCATCATAGATGAGCGTACTGTAACTATCAATACATGGAATTTTCTAACTGGTTCTTGAAATGCAGTTTCTGGCTCTGAGTCTGAGGACCACTCAGAAGTTCATCCTGTGATGCAGCACAGTTGTCCATATCTCTGGGCAGATATGTGTCTGTTCTTGAGGAGTTCTTTTGCCATTCAGTGTCAATCAAAACTCAAAGCATTTTTTTATTTATAAAACAGAAAATTTTGTTTACCTATTAGAAGGATTATATCTTAACTTGTGTCAAAACTGAGGCTTGTGGAAGAACAGGTCTTAAATGAAACTCTTGGGCAACTAATTATCCATCTATAAAGAGCAGCTTTGGAATTTCCTTGTTGATAAGAAAAAGAGTATGGATCTCTGAATTCTGCACTGGTCTGTCTCTGAGGAAGTGTGGGGATGTGCTTTTCTTCTGCTGCTTCTCAGCAAAAGAAGTATGTGTTTCATTAGATATGCTAGGAAAGATGTATCATATAATATGATGTTTGGGGGTATGTGTACGCATAAAACCCGGTAAATTGTGATCAGGTTGTGTCTGTTCATTACTGTGCAGGTCACACCACACTTGAAGAGATGACAAGCTTGCGTTCTCATTAGTAACATTCCTCTGAATAATACAGTTTACCATGAAAAAACACATGATCACTCTCAAAATGTTCTGAAGGTTCCAAGAATTTGAAACATCAACTTCCCCATTCAAAGAACACCAGCTGTGCTTCAGTACTCTGAAAAAATCTGGGCTTTGTAATAAAAGCCTATATTGTCACCCAAAGAAAACCAATTATTTGAAGCTTGCACATAGACTCAGTTTTCCCCTCACAAAATGAGAATTGTAATACCCTGAGCCACAGGAAGGCAAGGTACCTTTCATGGAGAAAATATTTTTGAAAGGAACTAAGTAACGGTGTGAGTTCTGTACTTCATTGAATTGCTAAACATTTTAAAATGAAATCCTTTGATAATTATTAGAGGCTTGAATAAAACATAAAAGGTACTCAAACAACCCTATTCACAAAGAACAAACAGCAGTAAAACTTGTATTTTTAGCAGAACATGTCTAAATCAATAGGTTGCTTTACCTACTGAAAACAAATCCCTTTTTGCTTCAAAACATAGCTCTTTGCAACTAAACTATCTACTGGTATCTTTATGGATGGCTCAGTTTAATTATAGTCAAGGCCTATGATTTATAGAAATATAATGTTATTAAACATGCCACTGGAAGCATTTGCAATACACAAGACATTGTTATGTGAATTGATACAATCTTTACTGGTGATGCAGGAAGAAGCAAATCATCTCTTCCCTGTGAGGTCAGTGAGGTTTGAGGTCTGAACTCACTCTACAGCGTTTCCCTCAATTAAGTGCTAATGGGATTTTTGTACTTCGCTATCTCTGTTTTGTTGGGGCACAAGAAGATGAGGGAGGACCTCAGGAAACAAGAGAATCACATTTCTTTAAGAAACCAGCCTAAACCTCTGAGCCAAGAAAGGTTCCACAAATCTTTCTGAAGTACATCTGGGGACTACGCATGGCAAGAATCTAGTAAAGTCCTTCCCCTGTCTAACACATACATGTGGAAGCTGTAGGGCAGCAATCTCCACATAATTTCTGAATGGTCCTGCTTCAAAGTTTTATCTCCCTGTTCCGAAGGAAAGTACAACAGGCTTTTTCTACCTTCTCTCTCCTCAGTCAGCTCAATAATGGTGTTTCTGTGGGAGGAAGAGGTAATACAGCATCACTTGGGAGGATGTGAATTTACCACACCCACACACTGTAGTTATACTACATGCTGTTCTGCTCCCACCTGGTCTGGGGGAACACATCCCAAGGATTAAAGCAGGAACAAGAACAGATCTCTGAAGTCTCCAAGGTTTCCTTTTAGTTGAGTTATAGATAGTTTTGCTTTGCTCTGACATAATGATTTAGTAAAGAAATGACTAGCAGAAGTCATGTACCTCAGTATATATTGATTTTTTTTTTTTTTTTAATAAATGATGACTGGCATAATGATGAATTTTCTGGAAAGTTTATCCCAGTTTCACATGCATGTTGCTGCATTGGAGAATTTGTTGCTGGCACAGTGTTATATATAAAAATGATGGAAAATATTTTCTAGATCATCTGCATTGTGAATAATTCTTCTAGGGAGAGCAGGTTGTACTTGCTGCTTTCAGAGAGAAAATGATTAGTGTTTCTAAATAAGCACTCAATAAATCCTAGCCAGCAGAAGGAACTTCACAGAAAAATTGTCCTAGTTGTTAAATGCTGCGAATCTCACTGGTCAATGATGATAAATGGAGTTTTGATAATACCACATATTGAGTTAAAGGAAAAAAGTGCACAGCTCTTTCCTCACGTCTATCAGGCAGCAAGCATCAAGGAAACTGCAGTTAACTAGAATTTTGGTTAGGGTGCAGGCATTCAGCCTGGCACTGCCCCCTGTGGATTGGCCCCTGCTGGTCTTTGCCGGTGGTTTATCCAAAATGACAGCTTCAAGATAGAGATCGTAACAGCCTTTCAAATTGAGTATAGGAAGACTAGAAAGAAATCTGGGTGCAGCAGACTCACACGGAATTCTTGTCTGTGCACTTTGAAATAGTTAGAAATGAAGAAAGCATAAAAAAAATTCTAAGCAAATAGGTGTAAATAGCATTTGCAACAGTAGATGAAAACGTCCTCTGTTTTAGAACATACTGGATATCAATGAAAAGAAAATAAGCCATGTCCAAATTAAAACAACAGCATTGGGCTAATTGCTCTATGGCAATATTCCCATCCACCTCAAAATCAAATAGGATTACAGGAATTGGATGATGAATGCTGTTTGCTCTCTTTGCAGGCAAAGGCTCCATCAATAACTACAATTCATGGATGTCTGAGTGTTTTCTCAGTCATTGAAACATATATTATGTCTTTTGAAGAAATATTCAAAATATCATAAAATTAAAGGTTTTCATTATTTATTTTTTATTCGGATGCCAGTTTCTTTGCTGCTTAATTAATCATAATTGGCAATGGATTCCCCATGATTTGAAAATTTTAAAGATTGTTCCTAAAAAGAAAAATAGTAATACATTCAAATTCAAATAGGAATTAATTCAGGAAAGCATGCAGTCTCAAAATTGTTCTACATAGCTATAGCTGTCACTTCTGGCTTTGTAATC